AATAATTATTATCCTCTTTTAATAACTACTTATTTTTCTATTTATATTCTTTAACTACTTTTAAAATAATATATAAAGACACGAGTTACTTTGATTTCACTATATACACAATTTTAAAAGCAAAATTAACATATTGTGACAGACTACAACTTTCTTTGCGTGGAAGAGAGTCACGGTAGGATCCACAAAACATCTCTCTCCACGTCACATTATGTGACTCTTCATTTAAAAAATAAATAACAATAAAATAACACATACACATGTTCAAGTTGAAATTTTTGCGGTGAGTAACATTTTGTATATAGTTTTTTTTTCTTTAAATGGTTAGGGAATGTTATTTTTAAAATAATGCTTTTAATTATCTTATAATATTCTAAGAAAATAAATTTTGTTTTTATTAGTTAATTCAAATAGGCACTTTAAAAAAAATCAAATAGACACGTGTGGAACTTTGGATTTATTTTAAAACTAGTAACTAGTAAGAGCACCTCCAGCGGCAAGTTCTTAGAGCGTTGCTTACTGACAAGCAACGGTGCTTAGAAGAAATTCCCGTTGGAGTGATCTCACGTGGGAACCCAGTTGCTTAAAAAAATTTCTTTGTTGCTTCTCCAAGCAACGGTGCTTGGCACTGAGGAGAGGCATTTGATTGGTTGAATCGGATCTACGTGGAACCTCCAAACAGCCAGTCCCGACAGCCCCCGCGCCAGAACCCCCTCCCCCCGCGAACCCCTTCCCCGCGTGCAGCTCTTGACCGGACCCCCTCCCCCTGCGCGCAGCTCCGACCAGACCCCCTCTCCCTTCTGGTAGTCCTATTGTTAATAAACAGATACAACACATTATTTTAATAACGTTGGAATATTTAAAGAGATAGACATTAATAATGGAACAAACCTCTGGATTTTACATAATGAAGAGCATAACGCCAGGGGTTAGTGTTGAACACCATGTTGGCAAGTCGGCGAATATTTGACTGCAACTGTTGTGTTGATAAAGGATTATCAGATTGCCTGTTCCTGATCTCAGCTTGCACCATACCAGCAGGTCCAGGAATAACAGTGGGTATGTTAAATGACCTAAATGTGTGGTGATCATTGTCATCTCCAAGTTCCTGCGGTGGTGGTGATAATGGAGACAATGGCCGTTGTTCTGTAGCGGCAGCAACTTCCTTAGCTGCCCTAATCCTTCTCCATTGAGATAGTAATTGTTGATGTATGATTTCTTCCTCTGAGCGAACTAAGTCTTGCTCCTCATCGCTGTCTGGCACGTAATCCACTCCTCTACGAGACATTTCTAATATAAAAAAAAACAAATATTATTGTAATATTATTAATTAAAATGATTTAACTTATAATATCTGGAAAATAATATAATAAGTATAGTATTGTATTTATTAAGTACCAAATTTATTACAATATGGGTTATAATAAATATAGTATTGTATTTTAATAGATAGTTCATATACATCACATTTGATATTTTAAGGATATATATGAAGTATGAATAATTTATATTATTGTCATATAAATATGATATATAAAATCATAAATTAATAGGAAAATAACACTTACAGGAAGGACGTCTAGCGGAGAACAAAGAATTTACACAAAGCAAATGATCAACACTTGGGCCGAGAATGAGAGGCATGATGTATAAATAGAGAAACTGGAAATTAGAAAAAACACTGGGTCCACGCGGCATTATGGGAATGGTTGGTCAAAGGCTGGTCATAACTGATGTGATGCGCCATGTCCCTGATCACAAGTCAGACGGTGGTGAGTAGTCACCTCATGCAGCAATAAGAACACAACGCGCGAAGTAGCATAAGGGGTAGGTAGCATCTGATACACAACACACTACAGAAGTAAAAGTAACACAATCCTAATACAGAACACCCCGTGTTCTTAAGTAAAATAAATTACTTTAATAAATATCAAATTTCATTTATTGTACAATAGATATATTTTTTGAACATGGACAGCAACCCGAGGACATGAGACCTAAGTTGCAGCATTTTGCTTGTGAATATAATTAACTTACCATGTATACAATAGGAGACATGATACATCCTCCCTATAACTATTGATTGTGCATTGATTTGATTTTTACAATTGCTTTTCATATAAATTATAAAATATGCATTTTTTTTAAACATGAAAGTTTAATAAGAATAAAATAAATACTAAATTCAGAATTCAAAACAACTCGTACAGATAGAGTTTCAATTTAGAATATTATAAATTTATAAGCAACATCAGAACACAAACAACATAAAATTAGAGTACATGATCTAATTTCATCCTTAGATTCTTGATCCAAATATTTTCATTTAAACTCCTTAATATTGCAAATGAAGATGATAATTTAAAAGTGAATTAATTGCAAAACTATACAATTTTTTTTATATAGTATAAAGGTATATACTATATAAGATTTAAACTACTATTTTCACAATGCATCATATTCCATGCAAATTCTTATGACTTGGTACAAATTTTCTTCACAACTTTTCATCTATTCTCATGCACAAATAAACATTTTCTCCCTTGATTTGATTTAAACTACTACTCACTAATTGATCCTACCTAACAATTGCTATTTTAACCTTTTCTTCCTTCAAGAAATCAATGAAAGTTAAATATATGTTTGTTTATTTTTTTTCTCTCTCATTAATTCAATATTATTTTTACTTTGGAATGATGGGATTGTCTTCTTAATAATATTTTTCGAAGGATTGTCTCTTCTCAATTCACCTCATTTTTTCCTTTTTATAATATCCATTTAAACATTTATATTTGTATTGGATTAGAATTCTAGATATAGTTGCAGATTAAAGATTATAAAATCTTGCCTATAGGACTTAGAATTACGTTCGAAAATGCTTCATGAATAATTTGAGATCAATCTTTTATTCTCCTTCTTCTTCATGTGTAACTAAAAAAATTGTTGCACAAATTAAGTTAAAGAAAAAAATCCTCGTACAAACATTTTTTCACGTGTACACACTTAAATTATTTTAGTCACTTGTATTTCACTCAATTTGACTTTTTAGATTTTTTTTTATATAGTCTCATCACTCTTTTCTTTTATCACTTAAATTTACTTTAACAATTACTAATTAAGAACTTTTGAGGACGATTTCACATAACAATAATCAATAAAAAATGAATTACATGACATTTTAAAGAATAAGAACATGAAATATTGGAAATAAAGAAATAATAAAAAGCTCATTTTTATTAATGATAATGAGATCAATGAAAGTGTTTAAACTGAAAAAAAAAGAGACTAAAATTCATATTTTTACTTTTTTTTTACTGTGCAGTATGTAATTTGAAGAAAATATTGATTCGTACCAATTTCTTTCGTTTTTTTTTTTAATTTTTTCTTTGTGAAACTTGTTTTTCTCTCTCAATAGTATTGACAAATAAGAAGCTCAAATAGATATATGAAAAAAACGAACAAACTAATAGAAATATATATTTATACAAATTTAAATATAATTTATATATTTAAATATAATATATAGATAATTTATTATAATTTTAATTATATAAAACATATATATATATATATATATATATATTATAGTAAATATTTACCTCTAAAATACTACTTTTATATAAATGCCACGACTACGTGTTGAGTAACATACTAACAACATATAACTATTCTGTCGGTGTAAAAAAAACATAATAATTATTAAATTTTAATACATCATTAATAATAAACATTATAGTTATTTTCAATAATATTTTCATTTATTATTTAATAAATTGGGCATCGTAATATCGCATTAACGTAATACAACAAGTCGATGACATATCAACATAAATTTAAATGACAACATTAATGAAATTAAAAAATTTAACTTGATTGGACAATACAACCCCAAAGCCAAACAAGTTAGGCATGCCTATCAATATCATTGCCTCGGTCTTCAGCTCCTGAGATTCCTAGAAACAAATCATCCGTAATTTGACTTTATAATATAAAATTAACAATATTCTTTTATTTTAACACATTTTAATATATATATATATATATATATATATAAATAAAAATAAAATAAAAAGGGTAAAATCAATATTTATAAAGTCATA